CTGTAATACTGATCTAATGGTTCTAGGATTGTAACACTGATCTAATGGTTCAAGGACTGTAACTCTGATCTACTGGCACTAGGACTGTAACACCGATCTAATGGTACTAGGACTGTCACACTGATATAATGGTAAAAGGACTGGAACACTGATCTAATGGTTCTATGACTGTAACACTGTTCTAATGGTTCTAGGACTGTAACGGACTGTAACTCTGGTCTAATGGTACTAGGACTGTACCACTGATATAATGGTAAAAGGACTGAAACACTGATCTAATGGTTCTAAGACTGTAACACTGATCTAATGTTTCTAGGTCTGTAACTCTGATCTAATGGTTCTAGGACTATAACTCTGATCTAATGGTTCTAGGACGGTAAATCTTTTCTAATGGTTCTAGGATTGTAACACTGATCTAATAATGGTTCTAGGACTGTAACTATGATCTAATGGTTCTAGGACTCTAACACTGATCTAATGGTTCTAAGACTGTAACACTGATCTAATGGAACTTGGACTGTAACACTGATCTAATAGTACTAGGACTGAAACACTGATCTAATGGAACTTGGACTGTAACACTGATCTAATGGGACTAGGACTGTAACACTGATCTTAGGACTGTAACACTGATCTACTGTACTAGGACTGTAACACTGAGCTAATGGTACTAGGACTGTAACATTGATCTAATGGTTCTAGGACTGCAACACTAATCTAATGGTTCTAGGATTGTAACACTGATCTACTGGTTCTAGGACTGTAACACTGGTATAATGGTTCTAGGACTGTAACGGACTGTAACTCTGGTCTAATGGTACTAGGACTGTACCACTGATATAATGGTAAAAGGACTGAAACACTGATCTAATGGTACTAGCACTGTAACTCTGCTCTACTGGTACTATGACTGTAACACTGATCTAATGTTACTAGGACTGTAACACTGATCTACTGGTACTTGGACTGTAACACTGATATAATTGTAAAAGGACTGTAACACTGATGTTCTAGGACTGTAACACTGATACCATGGTTCTAGGACTGTAACACTGGTATAATGGTTCTAGGACTGTAACTCTGGTCTAATGGTACTAGGACTGTACCACTGATATAATGGTAAAAGGACTGAAACACTGATCTAATGGTTCTATGACTGTAACACTGATATAATGGAAAAAGGACTGTAACACTGATCTAATAGTACTAGGACTGAAACACTGATATAATGGTACTAGGGCTGTAACACTGATATAATGGTAACAGGACTGTCACACTGATCTAATGGTAATAGGACTGTAACACTGCTCTAATGGTTCTAGGACTGTTACTCTGTTCTAATGGTTCTAGGACTGTAATTCTGATATAATGGTTCTAGGACTGTAACGGACTGTAACTCTGGTCTAATGGTACTAGGACTGTACCACTGATATAATGGTAAAAGGACTGGAACACTGATCTAATGGTTCTATGACTGTAACACTGTTCTAATGGTTCTAGGACTGTAAATCTTTTCTAATGGTTCTAGGACTGTAATTCTGATATAATGGTTCTAGGACTGTAACATTGATTTAATGGTTCTAGGACTGTGATTCTGATATAATGGTTCTAGGACTGTAACTCTGTTCTAATGGTTCTAGGACTGTAAATCTTTTCTAATGGTTCTAGGACTGTAAATCTTTTCTAATGGTTCTAGGATTGTAACACTGATCTAATAATGGTTCTAGGACTGTAACATTGATTTAATGGTTCTAGGACTGTAACACCGATCTAATGGTTCTAGGACTGAAAAGGACTGTAACACTGATCTAACACTGATCTAATGGTTCTGGGACTGTAACTCTGATCTAATGGTACTAGAACTGTAACACTGATCTAATTAGGACTGTAACACTGATCTAACACTGATCTAATGGTTCTAGGACGGTAAATCTTTTCTAATGGTTCTAGGACTGTAATTCTGATATAATGGTTCTAGGACTGTAACTCTGGTCTAATGGTACTAGGACTGTAAGACTGATCTTATGGTTCTAGGACTGTAACACCGATCTAATGGTACTAGGACTGAAACACGTATCTGATGGTACTAGGACTGTAACACTGACCTAGTGGTACTAGGACTGTAACACTGATATAATGGAAAAAGGACTGTAACACTGATCTAACACTGATCTAATGGTTCTCGGACTGAAACACTGATCTAATGGAACTTGGACTGTAACACTGATCTAATTGTACTAGGACCGTAACACTGATCTAATGGTACTCTAGGACTGTAAATCTTTTCTAATGGTTCTAGGATTGTAACACTGATCTAATGGTTATAGGACTGTAACACTGATCTAGTGGTACTAGGACTGTAACACTTATATAATGGTTCTAGGACTGTAACTATGATCTAATGGTTCTAGGACTATAACTCTGATCTAATGGTTCTAGGACTGACTGTAACACTGATATAATGGTACTGGGACTCTAACACTTATCTAATGGTTCTAGGACTGTTACTCTGTTCTAATGATTCTAGGACTGTAACACTGATACCATGGTTCTAGGACTGTAACACCGATCTAATGGTACTAGGACTGTACCACTGATATAATGGTAAAAGGACTGTAACTCTGATCTAATTGTACTAGAACTGTAACACTGATCTAATTAGGACTGTAACACTGATCTACTGGTACTAGGACTGTAACACTGACCTAATGGTTCTAGGACTGTAACGGACTGTAACTCTGGTCTAATGGTACTAGGACTGTACCACTGATATAATGGTAAAAGGACTGAAACACTGATCTAATGGTACTAGGACTGTAACACTGATATAATGGTACTAGGACTGTTACACTGATCTAATGGTTCTAGAACTGTAACACTGATCTAATGTTTCTAGGACTGTAACTCTGATCTAATGGTACTAGAACTGTAACACTGATCTAATGGTTCTAGGACTGTAACTCTGATATAATGGTACTAGGACTGTAGCACTGATCTAATGGTACTAGGACTGAAACACTGATATAATGGTACTAGGACTGTAACACTGATCTAATGGTCCTAGGACTTAAACACTGATCTAATGGTACTGGGACTGTAACACCAATCTAATGGTTCTAGGACTGTAACTCTGATCTAATGGTACTAGGACTGTAACACTGATCTAATGGTACTAGGACTGTAACACTGATCAAATGGTACTAGGACTGTAACACTGATATAATGGTTCTAGGACTGAAACACTGATCTAATGGTACTAGGACTGTAGCACTGATCTAATAGTACTAGGACTGAAACACTGATATAATGGTACTAGGACTGTAACACTGATCTAATGGTACTAGGACTGAAACACTGATCTAATGGTACTGGGACTGTAACACTAATCTAATGGTTCTAGGACTGTAACTCTGATCTAATGGTACTAGGACTGTAACACTGATCAAATGGTACTAGGACTGTAACACTGATCAAATGGTTCTAGGACTGAAACACTGATCTAATGGTACTAGGACTGAAACACTGATCTGATGGTACTAGGACTGTAACACTGATCTAATGGTTCTAGGACTGTAACTCTGATCTAATTGTACTAGGACTGTAACACTGATCAAATGGTTCTAGGACTGAAACACTATACTGATGGTACTAGGACTGAAACACTGATCTGATGGTACTAGGAATGAAACACTGATCTAATGGTACTAGGACTGTAACACTGATCTAATGGTTATAGGACTGAAACACTGATCTGATGGAACTAGGACTGAAACACTGATCTGATGGGACTAGGACTGAAACACTGATCTAATGGTACTAGCACTGTAACACTGATCTAATGGTACTAGGAATGAAACACTGATCTAATGGTACTAGGACTGAAACACTGATCTGATGGTACTAGGACTGAAACACTGATCTAATGGCACTAGGACTGTAACACTGATCTAATGGTACTAGGACTGTAACACTATCTAATGGTACTAGGACTGAAACACTAATCTAATGGCACTAGGACTGTAACACTGATCTAATGGTTCTAGGACTGTAACACTGATCTAATGGTACTAGGACTGTAACATTGATATAATGGTACTAGGACTGTAACACTGATAATTCAGCTGATGTAGCGTTTAATTGTAGTTGAATTCTTTTGGAGCGATTGGTTTAGAATAACTAGGAAATTAAAGGGGTACTTTTGCGTTTGAACTGCGGTAGAATATTAGGTTTGACGGACTTTTGATGTAGGATAACTGATGTAAATGGCATCCGTCTACTTGTTGGGAAATTCCACTTTTGTAAAACCCTGCGTTACCGGAGAGTCTTGACTATCAGTTCGAACAGGCTTAAGAGTCGAACTTGTGCCATTTCATCAATGATTTCATGAAGTATCCACGCTATTTTCTTAATAATATTATGCACAGTTTCAGTAGAATTGTCTTAAATTTCGTAATACAAAGAGAGAAAGCGAAACCAGTACGGTTCGAACATGGTGACCATCCAATGGTTTCTATAGAAATCCCATCGACCATTCATTTAATGTCGTATGTTGTCTTTTGTTTCCCACCATAAACAACCTTGCCATTTATATTGGTTCAAGATCGTTAAACAATACTTGTTATTTGTGATGGAATTGATGTGCGCCTTAAGTAATATATACTACATGTACATTTCTTACAGTTTTTAGTTCCACATTTGTAAATATTTAAAATAAAAGAATTTCTGACGTATCTGAAGCATTCAACAAATCGATAAGAACGTTGAGGTTTCCTTAAAAAAATATACCTTCAATCCGAGCTTTGGTCAAATGTATTACATTTAATATCCCTGTGGACAACCCGAGGAGTACTAATTAGAACTCAACTGAAAAAAGAAATAACTCCTTTGTCCCTTTTGTGAATGTTTTGAATTCCCTTCTCTATCTGTAGAACTCTGAAAAACACTGACGTGATTACCATTGTCTGTTTGTTTAACACAGGTTGAACGGATCATCAGTTACCATGGCGACTACCACGCCTACATCATGGGTCGACTCCTTACTCAACCACAAGAGCAGCACGTACGTTGAACTGACCATCCTAACCATCATGGTGTTTCTCGGATGTGGTGGAAATATCAAAGTAATGTGGACTTTTGGAAAGGTCAAGACTCAATTTGCTCGTCAAATTATGTCGTTATTCTTCACACTTGCTATTAGCGATGGTCTGATCTGTAGCGTGCGAATTCCACTGAGAATTTATGGTCTACTGCATCCTAGCTGGGATGAAGGACATGAGGTGTGTACAGCGTGGCACATCACCTCTGCCATTTTGGGAATCATTATTTTTAAGAACCTGCTAGTCGCCCTACAACGCCTCATCATTATGTATTCCTTTCCTTTCTACCGTCGTCATTTCACGCTGACCACCGTCCTGCTGATCGTCGTCCTGATCTGGGTGATACACATTGGCACTTTCATCACCATCACCGTCGTCTTCAACATTAAGCTATCTTACGATAATAATGGCATCTGCCAACTCAAGAATGCGTATTCTAGTAGAAACGAGACCGTGTGGTTCATCGTGGAGGGCCTAATAAGCGTGACCCCTGTGACCCTGACTGCCCTCTGTCATATGTGGATAGTCTATAAGATATGTAGCACAGGACTTACAAAATTAGACAGGATCGACGAACGAGCTAGCTACGTCCGTATCAACACTATGGCCATTTTAAGAACACTGCTTGTATTGGTGTGTTGGGTTCCTTATCTCCTCGTAAACATGTTAGGCGCCGATCCCGATCCGCTGACCCCGAGAATCCGTGGGTATCTGGACTATTTACTATGCGCTCAGTCGGTCATCAGTCCATATATAACACTTCAGGACTCGGATTTTAGTGACTCGGTCACCCGCAAGAAGACGATAGCACGACGAGGGATTTTAAACGGCAACAGCTTCCGGCTCAGTCTGAAGAAATGCATCAGTAACATCACTTCCGGGGAGCTACGAACAAACAGACCCACTGAGTAAAAGGTTACATCATGTAGAGGTGTTTTTTAGTGCGAATTTTATTTCATCGAGACTCTATAGTGTTAACACGAAAACTGCGGTATGAGTGTTATCAGCTCATTTAAAATGGAAACTTATCAAAAATTGTTCCTATTAAATTATCAATGTTCGTTGCGAGTATTAGCGACGGAAAAAAAAAAAAAATACATCGTCATTACTTCAACATCGTCATCTTGATATTAACTTTCTACATAATGTGAACATGGATTATTGTCATAGTTTAGTTGAAACTGGATGTTATAAGATTGTTAACGACCTAAAGGCCTAATACAAAGAACTTCTTTAACAGTTCAAATTGTTTTTTTCTGTGGTATTTTTTTAGTTGATATAACGCAGCTTTGAATTTCTCGGCCCGGAGCTACAGACATGTTGTGATGAACAAGTTTATACCGGCCACGAGCTACAGACATGTTGTGATGAACAAGTGTATACCGCTAGGATTTCACTGCCCCGAGCTACAGACATGTTGTGATGAACAAGTGTATACCACTAGGATATCTCGGCCCGGAGCTATAGACATGTTGGGATGAACAAGTTTATACCGCTAGGAGGTCTCGGCCACGAGCTACAGACATGTTGTGATGAACAAGTTTATACCGCTAGAATTTCTCGTCCACGAGCTACAGACATGTTGTGATGAACAAGTTTATACCGCTAGGATATCTCGGCCACGAGCTACAGACATGTTGTGATGAACAAGTTTATACCGCTAG